TCTCTCTAGAGTTAGTCAGCCGATCGTTGTTTGTAGTGTTGCAGTGCTGCTGCACTTACAGTGTTTGTTGTGATTCTCTGGTAACTGTTGCAGGAGGATTTGTTTATACTCTATCATGGAAACCATGGCAACCGTCAGCCTTGTCGACTCCTGATGGTTTCCATGGCAGCTGTTAAAACTGATCACTGCTCTTTTTTATTTAATTTTTTTTTATCTGACCACAGTTGGTTTGATGGCACGCACCAACACTGCCCATATCCCAAACTAGTGTGCTTTATAGTTTATTTACATTAAACCTCGTTTTTGGTTAAGCTGATGGTTAATGTACAAACATTAAGATATTTTCATTAGTCAGAGAAACAGAATCTTCTGTTTTTCTTAGTTCTTGTATGTCTTATGAAAACACTTTTTCTCTAATTTAAGGTGTAATGCGACACAAGCATTTATTTTACGATCTTTAATAATCAGCTGATTGTACATTAGCACACATATTGCATGGCTACTTACCAAATACATACTGTATATAAATGTATGTGAATTATTGGAAATTATTTTAGACAAGTGTTTTTTTTTTTATTTTGTTTTTGTTTAGTCTTGTGTTTCAGATGAAATTCTGAATATTATAGATGTTATAAGATATTTAGTTTTTTTTTTTTTTATCTTTTATCACCTTGTACACTAGCTTGCGCATTATTACATTATAACACTTGTTACATGACTACTTACCAACTGAATAAACATGTGGGTATGAAATATTAATTTGATTTGAAATTGTTATTTGAAAAGAAGACAGAAGAGACATGAAGCACTGCAATGCAACAAAATGTTCATTTTAATAGGATCAAACAATTTTCTTTCAATACTTGCCATTTCTGATGGAAATGCTCATCAGATGTTTGTTATATATGCAAAAGCATATTTCAGTGCATTATGGGATTGCTTACAGTTGTCTACAATTTAAGGCATGCTTTTTGTCAGTTGATCAGCTAGGGTGCAAAACAAGCTGTCTGACACAGTATATAATGAAGTCATTTCTTAACACTATTACTTTACTTTTGCACTTTGTTTTCGTTTTGTTGTGCTTTGTGTTTTTGTTTTATCATGTTTTTTGTTGTTTTGTTTTGACGTTGTTGTGTTGTTTTTTCATTTAGTTTTTTTGTCATGTTTTTTTGTTGTTTTTGTTTTGTCATGTTGTTTGTGTTTTGTCGTGTTATTTTTTGTTTTGTCGGGTTTTTTTTCGTTTTGTCATTTTTGCTTGTTTTGTCTTGTTTTTTTTCATGTTTTTGTTGTGTCTTGTTTTTCATTTTGTTTTGTCATTTTTGTTTGTTTTGTCTTTTTTTTGTGTTTTTGTTTTGCAATGTTTTTTGTTGTTTTTTTCTTTTGTTGTGTTTTTCTTTTTGTTTTTTATTTTGTCATTTTTGTTTGTAATGTTTATTGTTGTTTGGTTTTGTCATGTTTTGTGTTTTTTTTTTAATCTTGTGTTTTGTTTTTTTGTTTTGTTTAGTTTTAAAGACTGTGAAGAGGAAACAATGTTTTGAGAAGAGTCGATTCAGTGCTTCAAATGAAAATCTAATCACTCAATATTACAATGTTTGCAAAGTCTACATAAGCAGTTTTGTTGTTTTATGTTGTCTATAATTTGAGGCATGCTTTGCGTCAGTAGTGCAACTATGGTGCAAAACAAGCTGTCCAGCAGCTCCTGGGCAGTAGGGGTGTTTAGGAAACATGTTGGGAAACAACATATTTTTTCCAGTGGTTTGGTGTTGCTAAATGTACATATTTCACCTTTAATGATGTAAGCGACCGTGACCCTGTGCACATCATCTCTCACACTCATTAAGCTGTGTTGTTGTGTGGAGTGTCGAGTGGTTTATTACTCTATCGCAGGGGCTGATCGCTGTGGCCCGGCGGCGCTGAGAGCACTCTTTCATCTCTTTAGGACGTGCTGCTGTAATAAGCTCTCAGAGTGGCCTTTTATCAGATGCCGTGGATCAGGCCGGCTCTCAGCTCTGCTTTGAGTGTAACACAGAGCCAAACAAAGAAGAGAAAACAGTGTTTACCTCGGCTCTCTGCTTGCACTCCCACCTGACTCCATTTCTTTTGGGCAAGAAAAGATTTGTTAGTGTTTTGTACTCTGTTTTCTTTGGTTTGTTCTTTACACCCAGCTGTTTTGTATACTCATCCACACACCACAGTAATCTCACATTCGAGTCTTGCATTCGATTTTTAAACTCTGCTAGGTTTCAGTGTGAATATACACTATTGGACAAAAGTTTAGGGATTGATATGCTTTTTTTTTAAATGTTTTTGAAAGAAGTCTCTTATGCTCACTAAGGCTGCATTTGTTAGATCAAACATATAGTGAAACTGTGAAATATTACAATAAAAAAAAAAACAATTTTCTGTTTGAATATAATTTAAATAGTAATTTATTTGAAGCAAAGCTGAATTTTCAGCCGCCATTACTTTAGTCGTCAGTGTCACAAAAACCTTTTTTGTAACAGAGGTTACAATATGGTTGACAAATATGCCTTCTTTTTTTTTTGATGGTCACTACCTTAGAATATCTTAGAGCAGGGTGACCACTGGCCAATATAAAGACAATATATTTGATATTATATGTAAAAATGAATCATTATGAAAAAAAAATTGTTTGCACTTGATAAAAATAAATCTGTAAAATAAACCGATTTATGCTTTGGCAACATCTTTTCAGTAATTCTATTAGCAGTAGTGTTTTTCACAAATAAAGAAATTAAAATAAAATTTAAAAAACAAGGAAGTGAGCAGTAAGTGTGCTCAGTAAGTGTCATATTTTCAACACTAACTTTATATAACACAGCATTAAAGATTATGTTCATGTCTGTATTCAAGTGCTGGCCGCCTTAGTGCTGTCAAAATAAATGTCCTGTCACTGTCAGAAAAAGCTGCTTCCAACACTTTTTGGCTGAACAAAAAATATGTATATCGGTCTTGGTGATATATTGGTTGACCTTTTATTATAACCATTTTTACTGTCATATTTGATCAATTTAAAATGCCCTTGCTGAATAAAAGTATTTATTTATTTTTAAAATAAAATCTTACTGACCCGATACTTTAGTGTCTTTATCAAGTGTCTATATGTATTTGCCAAGTAGGGCCACATCCTGCATCAACATCTGTTGTTGACTGCAGAAAAACATTTCTTTCTAACAAATCTAGTCATAACTTTGGTCCCTAAACTCAACACCATCCCTAAGCCTGTCTCTAATCCTGACTCCTAACTCTCTCCGAATTCAGTTCAAAAGCTAACACAAAAAATCTGATTACTTAATTGGAATATTGTTAGAGTAACAAATCATATTATTTACTCATGTTAATGTCAACACACACCATCATACTTTCAGGCTGTTTACTTAAATGTATGATTCACTAACACCCACAAAAAAAAAAGTTAAAAAAGCCAAATCTGAAATTAATAATTGGTGTGTTGTGGAGCGCTTCTGGGAAATCTAAAAGTAAAATGCACAGCTTGAATAATTTATTTGTTTATTACGAAACAGCAATGGTGGAACAGCTTCATGCAGGTGGAATTAGTTTTACCCCGGTCAAATGGTGTGTGTGTGTGTGTGTGTAGTACACACACCAAAATCCCTCTTTCATTCTGCGTCTGGAAAAACTACTGTGCGGTTCTGCGTGAAGTTGCTGATGCACCAAATATGGCAGAACAAAGGAAGTTTGTTTATTCTTCTTCCTAAAAATGTGAGCCGTTCCCAGTGCTTGAATAGGGTTACATAAAGGTTTCTGCACTTGAGGAGACAGCTAAAGCTATCAATTCCAAACTGTATGACTTTCTTTCTCCAGTGGAACACAAAAGGTGAAGTTTTGAAGAATATCCTGGTCACTCTTTTTGCTTTGATTAAAGTGAGTGAGGACTGGGACTATCGAGCTCCAAAATGACATTGCACCATAAAAATAGCATGCATGATAAATACAAAGTCCTCAGATGCAATATCATAGCTTTGGTTGAGGGAATTAGTAGGGATGTCCATCTGGTGAACAGATCATGCTTTTGCATTAGCTCTTTAATAATTCTATTATATATAGATATTTGGCATGGATTGAGAAATATTTGCAATTACACATTTGTAGTGGTAAAGCTGTACATGTAAAATATGTGAAATATTTAAGTGTAATATTAAATAAAGCACTACCGTTAATATTATGATCAAATACTTTTTTTAAAGTGTACTTTAGTGTATTTTTATCAAAATTCAATGCAGATAAATGCAATTTCTTAATTTACTTTTACAGTTAAAATAAGTGTGCCTTTTCATTGTGGTTAACAATTAATAATGACCAAAATTTCTCTGTTTTTTAACACCTAGCTAGAGTTGTAATATAATATATAAGTTGCATGGACTACTTTTATGCTGTTTTTTTAAGCTTGAATGCTTCATTCATGGTAATTGAATAGGAAAGAGTGAGCAGCACATTCTTCTAAATTTCTCCTTTTGTTCTCCATGGAAGGAAGACAGTGAGTAAATGATGACAGTATGATGCTTTCCAGTTGGACGTGTAATCTTGTACTCAAGTGTGAGAAACTAAGCGTGGAGGAGAGAGAGCATGAGACCCACAGGCGGAGCAGATGGAGCCGGCCTGTGGGAACACTGCAACGGTCAGGCCTCAATGTTACGCCTGTCCTTTTCCAACTAATGACTGATATTATGAAAAGCCTCATTCTCTTTTTATAGAGGTGGTTAGAAAGACCAAACCAATACCTCTCCAGCCCACCTTCACTATTGTTAGAAATGATGTAGAAATTACACTGTGTTGTTTTTAATAGAGAACCTAAGCAAAATCCATAAATCCTAAGTATTAAAACTTGCAATCAAGTAAAAAAAAGTTTGCCTGTTTTCTCAATTTCAGTGATTTTGATCTGCCTCTCGCTTTCTCATGTCTCCAGACTTTAATAACACTCTGACTCTAACTCTCTCTCTCACTTCCTGTCCCTCCAGTATTAAGATGGTGTTGATGTGGACCAGTGGAGACACTTTCAAGACAGGCTACTTCCTGTTGACTCAGGCTCCTGAGCAGTTCTGGATCTGCGGCCTCCTTCAGGTGTGCGTGGACTTCGCCATTCTCTTCCAAGTGTACTACTACAGCTGCTTCCCACAGAAACCCGTCTCACACACCACACACACCACCAGCGCCAAGGCCCTATGAAACACCCTTGCTTCACAGAATCTGCTCAAATCTGTTACAATGCATACATACAGCATCTTTATACGGTGTCTCCAAAACGGATTTGGATAAGTGATACACTTAAGCCACATCTAAATATGTCTGAATGTCATTGTATTAGATACACAACATCAAACTATGATGTTAGATCTTTTATTACAGTTAACTTCACTTTTATGTGCTTATCATCTTTTCTTGAAATTAATGGCAAGTTTTTTTGTTTTGATTTGTTGTTGTTTTTTTTACGAAATGAAATGACATTCATACATTAAGTGTTGCTTAAAGGAATAGTTAACCCAAAAATGAAAATTTGCTTAAAATGTACTCGCCCTCAAACCATCCAAGATGTAGATGAGTTTGTTTCTTCATCAGATTTGGAGAGAAATGTCGCATTACATCACTTGCTTATCAATGGATCCTCTGCAGTGAATGGGTGCCTTGGGTGTTCTTACAAACACAGTTTTTCACTTCGCAAGATGTTAATTGTTGGACTGGAGTGGTGTGGATTACTTGTGGATGATTGTGATGTTTTTATCAGCTGTTTGGACTCTCATTCTGACGGCACCCATTCACTGCAGAGGATCCACTAGTGAGCAAGTGATGTAATGCTACATTTCTCCAAATATGTTCTGATGAATAAACAAACTCATTTTCATATTTTCAAACTCTATTTCATGAAGTGTTCTGATTTTTGGTGCCACTGTATAAATATATATTGAACCAAACTTTACATGCAATATCATTAAGATATGCAGTCATATTTACACATTTACATACATATACAAACCAGCCCAAGGTAATCATCATGCTTATGAAAACTTTTGCCTTACAGACTCTCAGAATGACCTGAAATGTATCTGACATCAGATGGATGAATGTACAAAGCTTTTGTTATAAGAGATTAATACAGTTAATGCTGTTTTATTTGGAGAAGACTGGTTTTACCTCAGTAGCCCTCTGTGGTGTTTCACACAGTGAAGGCCCAATGTTGAGCACAGGGAGAGCCCTGTTTCTTTTTAAACCAAAAAAGAAGAAAAATACCCTCTCTCCTTTTGGTAGAAGGAGACAGCCCTCACACACTTCACCAATCCACATGACTTGATGGAAGTGTCTTCCCCAAATGTTATTTTTGGAGATATGTATGGCAATCCTAGTTCATTTACATGCAATCAGTTCAGTTAGCACGACAAAATATGAAGTCACTGTATTCATATACTGACTTTTGACCTCTTTAAGAAAGTTTGTCTTAAAGTACCGTATTTGCGGCACATTGGGGGTTAATTAAAAGATTTATGACTTCAAGGCCAAGTGCTTCAAACATCCAGTCAACCATCAGTCCTGAATATGACAATACACTGCAAAAAATCACTTTCTTTAACAGTATTGGTCATTTTCCAGTAAAAGTTTTATGTATGTTATAAAAGTTTATGATTATTATTATGATTAATAATAATAATAATAATAATTGTATTGCATTATCATGTTTTGGCTTATGCTTAAAGATTGATGTATGGTTTTATTTTGTTTGTTTTTTTTACTTGACAATAAGAGTTAGTATTGTAAGGAAACATTTTTTTACCTGAAGATCCTTAAAACAGGATATGTTTACATACAGTAAAGAAAAAAGCGGGCGGGGGATCTTTGTTTTGTTTTTTTCAAATGTTAGAGAATATATCTTTTCACATGTCTTTATAAATTTACTTTTTAACTTTTACATTTAATTATCTTTTTTTTACATTGCTTTTTTTTTGTGGAAAATATGACAAATACTTTTTAAGAAAATTATTATTTGCTGATTAATACTGGTCCAGTAGTTATAGTCAGGGATGTCACATGCCAGTAAATGTTATGAGAGAGGTGCTGCTTAATAGTATGTTAGATATGCAATTGTGAGGGACAGTTTGACAGAATTGATATTCGATATCGAAGATATTCGATATGACGAGATACAAGTCTCTGATAAAACTCTCCCCATTTAGATTAGAAAGACAAGAGGGTTTTCTTTTAAAGGACAACGTTTTATTACTATCGCTGTTATTTCTTTCTGTTTTTCTATTTTATTCTATCTTTTTTTACCTTCTATTCTGAGATATGTATTTTACTTGAGCTTCATTTAAATATATATTGTTTCTCTTTGTGTTGTGTTTGATAAAATAACTGATTTATTCTGTATTGCCATTATTTTAAACTGTCTTCTGTTTAATGCTCTTGCCATTGAATGCAAGTAACTGGCGTACACTCTGGTTCCCATGATGATATATCGGTTTACTCTATCATTGCACTCCATACAGCATTGATACTCGCAGTTATTGAGTGCTGTTTTTGTTTTTTGTTTACCTCCTGTTTAGCCAAATGTTCTGGTCATATTAAGTTGGATACTTTTGGTCATATATTTGCAATACTACTTTTTTATAGCAAGATTTGTAAATAAACTTTAAAAAAAATTCTGTATGTATATTGCTGTCATCAATATATAAATTAATAGGTGTTTAGAGTTTTTAGTGTTTTACAGTCAGGTTCCTCTACAGATGCATTTGATGTTAGCTTATCAAACAATTACACTCCGACATTAAAAATGTTAAAATATATGAATAATAACTTTTACTAAACAAAACAACATCTTGTATCACAAATCAAATGAAAAAAATGTAGCATTATTGCTCTGTAGGCTTAGCTTAAAGTCTCAGGCTGTAGATATTTCAACCTGTTTTTCATGGTATAATGTGCAAGGCATTGAACCGATTTGATTCAAATGGAAACCTGAGAGTGCATTCATTATGGCTGTGGTCATTTTAGCAGTGTTTGTACTGGCAGCACACATTGTCTCTCCATGCCTTTATGAGCACAGGACTCTCAGTGGAATCAATAAGGATGTATCTACCACTGGTCAATGTGGTTCACAACAATCTGACCCTCTGTCACACGTATTTAATCACTTATAGGAATAGATGTGCAGGACTCAATACTGGACTCAATATAATAAACCAACTAAATGTTATTAGATGATAATACCATGCTATTGACTTATTACTATATTTATATACCATGGCATTTACATGGTAGTCAAGAATACCCTAGTATAATGTCTAAGTACATACTGTATAGTAACATTCAGTTCACTTTCCCTTTTTTACTTGAATCTATATATACTACTAAGAACCATCTATCACTCAAGACAGTTTGAAAATAAGAAACCTTTATTCTTTTAAAGGGTATTTCACTGTTTTTTACAACCGGCAGATCCTGAGACTATGGCATCTAAAAGCAGAGCTATACAGAAATGTGTGTAAATGTGTTTTCATAAACATAGTTATTGCAAATCAGCTATATAGGAGCGTTAATTAAAGTTTAATAGCCTGTTTTGAACAGTGTAACACTGTATCCTCTGACACCAGAGAAAAGCTCATTTAACCTTAAAGGTGGATGCAAAATAAAATGGCAATCTTCACAGTCATACAGTTTTCACAGGTAGGAGAACCATCGACCAGAAACACCAGCTTAATGAAAATTCAGTCATCACTCACCCTCATACCACTCTAAACCCATATGACTGTCTTCCTTCAGTGGAACACAAAAGGAAATATTTAACCAAATCTTCATGCTTCTCATTTCCATACTATGAAAGTGAATGGGGACAGAGGCAGTTGAACTCTCAAATCTCTTTAGAACTGCTGCATATGTAAAATAGAACTATGCCGGTAAACCTCTCTTCCCTGGCCTCAAGAGGCTTGCTAGTTTTTAGTGTCCTTGTTAGTGCACCCACCATCCATGCCATTTGACACTGGTTCCAATCCCACTTGGACCAATTTTATTGGTGCCATTTTTCGGATGGGAGTGAGGCTTAAGAGAAATGTGTGACAGATGCCAGCTAGTAAGAGCTGTGCAGGTAAACCTCACTCAAGAGGTATATTAAGGGCCGTTGGTTTTAGCATCCCTGTTAGCGTGCCCTCCTCCAGTGCAGTTGATGCTGGTTCAAATCCCTCTCAGCATGATGCGAGTAGGACCAGTTATATTGGTGCCGTGACCCAAATGGGAGTGAAATTCAGAGGAGTGAGTATAACGGAGGCAAGCTAATAAGAGCTGCACAGGTAAACTTCACTCCCCTGGCCTCAAGAGACACATTAAGGGCTTTGGTTTTAGGGTTCTTGTTAGCGTGCCTTACTCTTATACTGGTTGAGCTGGTTCAAATCCCTCTCAGAGTGGTGAGAGTAGGACAAGTTACATTGGTGCCATGACCCGGATGGGAGTGAAATTTAGGGGGGTAAGTATAATGGAGGCCAGCTAGTAAGATCTCCACAGGAAACTTCACTTCCCTGGCCTCAAGAGACAGATTAAGGGTGCCATTTTTCAGATGGGAGTGAGGTTTAAGAGAAATGTGTGACAGATGCCAGCTAGTATGAGCTGTGCAGGTAAACCTCACTCAAGAGGTATATTAAGGGCCGCTGGTTTTAGCGTCCCTGTTAGCGTGCCCTCCTCCAGTGCAGTTGATGCTGGTTCAAATCCCTCTCAGCATGACGCGAGTAGGACCAGTTATATTGGTGCCATGACCCAAATGGGAGTGAAATTCAGAGGAGTGAGTATAACGGAGGCAAACTAATAAGAGCTGCACAGGTAAACTTCACTCCCCTGGCCTCAAGAAACACATTAAGGGCTTTGGTTTTAGGGTTCTTGTTAGCGTGCCTTACTCTTATACTGGTTGAGCTGGTTCAAATCCCTCTCAGAGTGGTGAGAGTAGGACAAGTTACATTGGTGCCATGACCCGGATGGGAGTGAAATTTAGGGGGGTGAGTATAATGGAGGCCAGCTAGTCAGATCTCCACAGGAAACTTCACTTCCCTGGCCTCAAGAGACAGATTAAGGGCCATTGGTTTCTGCATTCTTGTTAGAGTGCCCTCCTCCCATGCTGATTGAAGCTGGTTTGAATCCCTCTCAGAGCGATGCGAGTGGAACCAGTTACACTGGTGCTGTGACCTAGATGGGGGTGAAATTTAGAGGGGTTAGTATAATGGAGTCCAGCTAGTAAGAGCTGCACATATAAGCCTCACTCCCCTGGCCTCAAGAGGCACAAAAGTGGACATTTTCATAGTGTCCTTGTTAAAGTACACCATACTGTGAGATTGGTGCCATGACCCGAATGGGAGTGAAGTTTAGGGAGTGAATGTGACAGAGGCCAGCTAGTAAGAGCTGTGCAGGTTAACCTCACTCTTCTGGCCTCAAGAAGCACATTAAGGACTGCTGTTTCTTTGTTAACGTGCCACCTCCCTTTGATAGTGGTACAGGTAGGACCAGTGAAATTGGTGCCGTGACCCGAATGGGAGTAAGGTTTAGAAAGTTAGTTAGTTGTGCTGGTCAACCTCACAGCCCTGGCCTCAAGAGGTGCGGTATGGGTTGCTGTTTTTAGCATCTTTGTTAGCAAGCCCACCACCCATGCCAGTTGACACTGGTTCGAATCCTTCTTAGAATGGTGCATGTAGGACCAGTTACATTGGTGCCTTGACACTAAGGGGAGTGAGGTTTAGGCAGTGAGTGTAACAGAGGCCAAGTGGTAGATAGCTGTGCAGGTAAACCTCACTCCCCTAACCTCGAGGCACACAGCGCTAGAGGCTGCAGTCTTTAGCGTCCTTGTTAGTGTGCCCACCACCCATGCCGGTTGACACTGGTTCGAATCCCACTTGGAGCGGTGCAGCTAGGACCAGTTAAACATATTCAAACAGTACAATATGCGTTATGATATATGCAACAACAATGTTGCATCTTGTCACTGATGTCAAACATGGTGTGACACATTTGAATACTCAACCAAAAATGAGATTTAAGAGCTAACACGGAGGGGAAGCTCCGTGCATCATTTTCTCACACAAAGTTACCTTATGGCCTCGGAAAGCTTTGAATATAATAGTATGAGTCATGGACCACTTTTTAAAAATGTGTTTTTGGGTTTATAGATCCAGTCTCCATTCACTTTCTTTATATAAAAACAATTAGCATTCTGCTAAACATTTCCATTTTTTTTCTACGAAAGAAGAAAGTCATATGCATTTGGAACAACATGAGGGTTAGTAAATGATGACAGAACATTCATTTTAGGGTGAACCATCTCTTTCAATAATTGTGCTTTGGACATGCAAACCTGTCCATTTTAACATCCCTTTCCCACTGTCTATTATTGTCAAGTCACCTGATTATACAGGTACTATTTATGGCCAATCACCTGTAGCATGTCTTTGTAAATGTTTTTTTCCTCTTAGTCTTACAGTCAGCAGTTTGCATTACGACTTTAGAGATCTCCTGACCTGTGGTGCTCCTTGACTTGCCACAGCTACGAATCTGCGGTGATGCGCACCAACTGCGGCGGTCTCTGTGATTCCATGTAAGGAACTGTCAGTGTCCTGTGAATCCTCACTGTTTTGGGACTTGGTGCTGTCTTGTGAATCGGGCTTGTGCCGTGTGGCCCGATTCTGTTCCTCTTTAAGCTCCAGGTAGGACCGTGAAAAAGTGTGAAATATGGATGTGACTGGGAATGCCATGAGCAGGATTCCACTCAGTATGCTGCTGAGTGCCACCACCTGGCCTGGAATGCTGCGAGGAACCATGTCACCGTATCCAACCGTCGTCATCGAAATGACTGCCCACCAGTAGCTCCCGGGGATGCTGGTGAACTCCTGCTTGGCGCCCATCTCGCTCTCTGCCAGGAAGACCAGCGGAGAGAAGAGTGCCATGGCCACACATAGGAACAACAAGAGCAGTCCGAACTCTCGAGTGCAGCGACGTACGGTCAACCCAAGTGTCTGCAGCCCCAAAGAGTGACGTGCTAAACGCATCACGTAGAAGATCCGCAATGCTCGAAGAACTCGCAGGACCAATCCCACCTTCTCCAGGTAGTTGTTTCCTGAGCCGGTGGGACGGTCGCCCACAGACAGTGAGTCCACTATCAAAGTGATGTAATAGGGCAGGATGGCCACCACGTCGATGATGTTGAGGGGTGTGCGTAAGAACGTCCACTTGCTCTGCGTCTGGATGAAACGTAGCAGGAACTCCAGGGAGAACCAGCCCACACAGACTGTTTCCAGCACAAAGATGTTGTAGCACCTCTGGGAGCACTCACCCTGCGAAAGAAAACATAGGTTAGTTGAGCTCAGGGTTTTAATTGATGATCAATTTATAATTTTTTCCTGTGTCCTCACTTTTAGTTTCCACCCTCTTAGTCTATTCTAGCATCCGTTTAAATGGCTAAATGGCTAAAAATGAACATTCTGTTATTAAATACTTACTGTTTCAAAACCCAGAAGATTTTCATCATTTTCAGAGCAGAGACATATTAATAAAACCTGATAGATTTCTGCCCTTTTATCGAAAGTCTAAATAATCAAAACTTTCAAGCACAAAAAAGGTCATAAAGGCATTGCAAAAGTAATCCATGTGACTCCAGTGGTTTAATCAAAATTTAATGAGGCAACGTACACATGCCTGGCCAAAAAAAGGCGCTGTCTCGATTTAAATAAGCAAATATAAAGATTTTAGGATTGAATCATTATTGCAGTGATTAATATGTTTCGGTCATGTTGTTTGTTTGGCAACAATTCTTTTAACCCTAACTGATGCAATGTGTAGCTTTTTTTTCTCTCAAAAACAATGTTGGAAGATGTATCCATGTCCATATTCCAAGATGACAATGCCAAGATTCATCAGGCTCAATTTGTGAAAGATTAGCCACAACAGAGCCCTGACATTAACCCCATTGAAAGTCTTTGGGATGTGCTGGAGTCGA